GCATCAGCAATGGTGACCCCACACTTGAGGTGGCAGACTATTTTGTCTACCTGGGTTCCACCATAACCAACAACCTTCCCATTGATGTTGAGCTGGACAAGGCAGCCACAGCAATGGCTCACCTCTCTAAAAAGATATGGGAGAATGTGATGCAAATAACCAATAACACAATGAAGGTCTACCAGGCTTGTGTGTTGAGCACATTGCTTTACGGAAGAGAGTCATGGGCAACTTACAGCTGTCAGGAGTGATGCCTCAATGCCTTCCATATGCACTGTATCAGGAAGATTTTGGGCACCACATAACCAGACAGAGTCTCAAACAAAGATGTGCTCCCCCCAAGCCCACATTCCCAGAATGTCTGTACTTCTCTCTCAGTAATGTCTATGCTAGCTTGGTCATGACCACAAAATGGAAGATGGCAGGACCCACAAGGATGTGTTCTACAGGGAGCTAGCATCAGTCACTAGGCCTGTTGGCTGACCAACTCTGCATCACAAAGATGTCTGTAAACATGACATGAAAGCTGGCAACATTAACCCCACCATATGGGAATCCCTTACTGATGACTGCATTGCCTGTAGACAGACAGTCGGGTCATGCATCCACAGCAGTGACCAGGGGAGGAGTGGCTGCTGGGAGAAGCACAGAGAGAAGAAATGCCATGGTGCATCTGCAGCAGCCCAACTGGATGCCTTCATCTGGCCCAGCTACAACAAAACATGTCTCTCCTGTATTGGTCTCTACAGCCACAGCAGGTGCTGTGACGCTTCAACAGTTTGATGCCCCCCCCCCCAAGATGAACTCTTCCATTGTCTCCTGAGACAGACGGATGCCAACAACTATACAAGAAGAGCATTCACCCTTGAAATATATACTCGGAGTCGAGAGTGGATTTCATGCTCTTTACTCAGCTCATAGTGGTGAGGAGGAATGGAAGTTCCCCCAGAATGTCTGCTTTATATATACATTATTTACACAATGGGCCCCACGTAATTGGCTAATTCTGGGATTCACCTGTAGGCCAATCAGGTTGCGGATTCACCTCCACCTGGAGCTGGATTGGGTGGCTCCTGTGGACCAATCAGACTGCTGCATTCTGAATCCTAATGTTCTAGGACCAATCAGACTGCTGCCTTTTGGATCCTATTCAACTCAGTACATAACACCCCTGATCTGCTTACAAGGTGTTCTGTTAACAGCTGGTTCATCCTACAATTCTCAGTGAATTTTCTCCATCACTTTCCTAACTGCAAACAGGCTGTAGCTTGTTTTTAAGAGATTTGTTGCCCTAGGCAGCTTTCGTCCAGTTTAATTGCTAGCTTGCGCTTGAATCCCTCCAGAAAAATAGTGACAGTCTAAAGAGACTTCCAGGTCATATTATTATTATTATTATTATTATTATTATTACCCTGCCCATCTGGCTGTGTCACTGTTATCTATGCAGATTTGAGCACCATTCTCTCTCTCTCTCTCTCTCTCTCTCTCCATCGGGCCGCTTGTTGCCAATATGAAGATGATAAGACTGGCCTACCTTTTCAGGTTGTTGTAAGGACTATTGAAAAAATACCAAGCCAAGCGTTTGAATGTTATTTGTATTATTTCCCACAACTCTGCCGATAACCTGCTCCTGTTTTGGTGCCAGACTTTCACCATGTGTCTTTGTTTTCAACAGAGCGCTTTCACGATGGAGACTCAGGGAGGGGTGGTTTGGGTGACAGAAAACACTGTGAATTGGCAAGGAAACCGAGGAAACAGAAATAGCTGCCTTCCCCTTCTGTTCGGGCTGCCATGAAATGGGGCCAGGAGCTCCTGGGGCCTTAATCGGCTACTATGGAGAGAACAATCAGACCTTCCGCTCACAAATAAAAGCAGGTTAAGAGGAGAGGTTGTGCCAGCCAGCCAGAAAATGGCACTGGGGAACAGGGGTTGCTGTTGCCCAGGGAAGGATTCCAAAGGGAATCCCTGGGCAATCCTCCGGCAATGCAAGTGAGAGGCAGAGAGGGTCTCTCTGAGGCAAAAACACAGCAAAAAACCAAAACACCCTTGCAAGTATGAGCAGCACCCATTTGAAGGTACCTCTAAAGCGAAAGCTCAGGGGGGCCGAAGGAGCATTTTGTCCAACCCTCCATCCCAGGTAATGATGTCAGAGAATTCCAACAGAAACAGGAACGGAAATTGCCAAAGTTTGCTGATTCATTTTCTAGTCATTCATTTATTGCTTTTATATGCCATCATTTTATCCAAGGAGCTCAAGGTGGTGTCCATGGTTCTCCCCCATCTCATTTAATCCTTGTGAGGCTAGGAGGCCATCTGTGAGCTTCATGGCCGAGTAGGAATTTGAACCCTGGTCGCCCAGGTCCTCAGTCCAATACACTAACCACTACACCACACTGGGCTTGTGCATGGAACAGAAATCAACCCAGTGAATCTGATTAGCTGCCAATGCTTTTGTTCTGCAAACGAGACATAACTGGTTAAGTTTCCTTATTTGCACTGCATTTCCTTTGAACTGAAATGAATGCGGTACAATAACGCCATGACAATGTAACTTACATAATCTATGCAATTTACACAGCTTGTGTAATTTCACCACACAGGACAGCTAGACTGATAATGTAGGTTTTGGTGGAAGATGAAGTGCAGCAGAACAGAAACAGGGCTGCATGCAGCAAGCAGAGGGGAGAACAGAAAGTGATGCCTCCTTACCTCCCTAGTCCAAAGCCAAGATACTTGGGCCTCCCTGTCCCCTCCTTCAGAGATCTCTGCCATTCAGGTATCATCAAAAAGGAGCAAGCAGGACATTTATTGTTTGTGAAGCCAAAAGGGACTCCCCTGCACACAACCTCTTCCCTGGTGGTGGTGGTGGTAGGTAACTCCAAACTCCACAGTTGGACAAAACCCAATAAAGGCAGTGTTGTAGCATGGGTTGCCAGAGCCCAGGGCAAGGCAAGTATCCTTGGCACCATCTGCCAATAGGCTAGAACCAACAGCTCAGCGACCTACCTGCGTGGCAGCCACGGCACCCCATGAGCATTGAGCACGGTTCAGAGCAGGACAGGGGATTGGTCAGGAGCGGGTATCTTTCTAAAGTGTGCACAGAGGGTGCCCCCGCACCCAGCTGTCACTCAAATCCACTCCTCAGTCCATCCATGTGAACATTGGGAGATTTTAAGGGGTGGCGGGAGAGCACACAATTTTAAATTTATTACTTTCTCTCTCACCTTCTCTCTCTTGAAATTTTGCACCCCTAAGAATTTGCATCCAGGGTAACCGCCCCTGTTTTCATCCCAGGGCAACCACCCATGCTACACCACTGAATAAAAGTATTGGCAATTATGGATGCTGGAGTCGCCCCCGCCCCCATAGTCCAATACTTTTGCTGTTTTCAAGTGTTCCTTGGAAAATAACATCCCGTGACCCAGGTGACAGGAACACCTTGGGTTCCTCAGCGCCTTCTGCTTTCTGTGTGTCTTGATGGAGCTGCTCTTCTGCAATAAGTTGCCTTTTCCATTTAAAAGCACCTTCACACTGTGGACCTGCACCCAGGGGAAGGGCCAAGGCTCACTGGTAGAACATATGCTTTGCATGCAGAAGGTGCCAGGTTCAACCCCCAATGAAATCTCCAGGTAGGGCTGGGGAAAGACTCCCGCCTGGAAGAACCGCAGCCCATCAATGTAGATAATAATGAGCTTGGTGGACTGATGGTCTGACTCAGGATAAGGCAGGTCCCTCCATTCCTACGTCTGCAAAATAATCCATCAAAATGCGCTTCTTATCTCCGCATCTAATCCTCTGTTTCCTCACGTGCCTCGTGGCAGGCCTGCCTGCCATGGAACAGATTGGTATGAAGGAAGCGAAGGGAGCGGACATTTGTCCCTGGAGCAGCCAAGAATCTTTAATGGGCCTTTAGAAAAGCTGAGGCAATGGTTTCATTCTCCTTTTCCTTTTCATCCCTTTACAAATGGGAGGGGGGGAGGGAGCGCTTCTGCCTCAGAGGCTTAGCTAAAGCATTTGCAATGGACAGAAACCATGCCTGTCTAATATCTCAACACTTCCCTCCATCCCCTGGCCCAGGGGAAGATGCTCCCACAAGGGAACAGACCCCGAATATTCTCATCCACAGAAGCCAACTCCTGGGGACCAAGGTCCCTTCGGAGCCCCCAATAAAATATTTGAGGGGGCCAGGGCCCACCAAAGTTGATGGGCATTGCCATTCAAATGGCGTGCATTCACCGTGTCATGTGATCAATATACGAGGCAGGGCTTACCTGCCCCTGGCCCCCCATATTTTATTCAAGTTAGCCAGCAATTGACTAAGAGTAAATAACTGTAAAACAATTAAACTTCTCTCATGGAATGTAACAGGGTGGCCGAACAAGATCCAAGACAGTGATTTCTGTTCCTATCTACAAACACATGATATAATCTTTCTTCAAGAAACTTGGGCAAAAGAGGGCACTATGGTGGAATTACAGGGTTTTGCAAGTTACACTCAACCAGCTCTTAAAACTGTAAAGTATGGAAGGCCTAGCAGGGGGCTGGCGGTGCTGGTGTCAACCTCTCTTAATGTATCAATTCAACAGTCTCCCTCATTGACCACCCCTAATTTTTTAGTGTTGTCCTTTCTGATAGTCTCCTGAGAAATACTTACTGTATTTGTGTGTACATACCTCCAGTAAAGTCTTGTGGGGCACTGAGATCATATTGGGAAAAACTTGACCAGCTACTCGAAAGTATAGACTCTCTGTCACCCAACCCTCGGCTTGTCTTGGGAGGCAACTTCAATACCCGGATCGGCCTTGTTTCCCCACAAAATACAATATTATCTGGACTAAACTTGGAGGACGAACCTGAAATCTGTCAGAGGGTAGCAATGGACACTACCTCTATTCAAGTTAGCACCCCTGTTCTCATGATGAAACAAGCCTCATCGCCATGCACAGCCACTGCCAGACAGATAGAAACATAGCGCTGTAGAGCTGGAAATGCAGTAAACTTGCCCAATGTGGTGCTTGAACGCATGATCCTGAAATTAAGTCTCATGCTCTACCAACTGAGCTACCTGGAGAGATACAGAGCCTGATGATCTGACTCAGTAGAAAACAGCTTCCCAAGTTCCTATGTTTGCTCCATCCTTCAATGCCAAGCAGGGCCCTCAATGCTGCCCACCTTTTCGGGTAAACAAAGCGCAGAAAGGTCTCACTGCTGGGAGATCTACAGCAGGGTTTTCCCTCTGTGTGAACTGTAAGGTTTCTGGGGCAGGAACCCATCTTCTGCCTAAGTTGTTCCACCTTGCACTGTGCACAGAAGAGGCACGATGGTGCCAAAACCAAGGACCCGGGACAGCAGCTTTTAAAAACTGCTTCCGAAGCTGCATTTGCAGCTATTTGGTCCCACGGCGATGCTGCGAGGCAGGACATCAAGTCCCTCCCTGTGTGGTTCATGCCACAAAGACAATTCCTCGCCCCATGAAATGACCATCTGCTCAGGGATGGAGGAAATTGGTCCACTTTGGGTTCTCCCTGTTTTTTTCAATCTTAAATTCGGTGCTCTACATTTCTACAGCAGTTTGCAACTGGAAAAAGAAGCCTCATGAAAACCCATCATTTTAGTACTGATTTATCCTAAAATATACGTGTGCGTACAATTTTGCCTAATATACTTTTTTTCTTTTGCAAAGCAATTTTCCCTTTTATAATACGTTTTTCATGTGTTATGTTCACTAATATATGCATTTTAATGTGTACATTTCCCCCCAGCATTTGTAAGCATGACTTGGTTCAAGAACTGCCTTGCAAAAATCAGAGAATTGTGAATTGCAAAGGATGGCTGTGTTTTGGTTCTTGTACAAGCTCCAGAGAGTGCAAAGTAGGAAGGCCTGCCTTTAAATGCAAACTGAATCCAATTCCGCGCCGCCGCCCCCCATCCCAACCTGTGATCGGTCCCATTATTAGCATTCCACTGCCTCCTTTTGCTCTGGGAGAGACGCAGATGCACAGTCAAGACGCCTGTGTCACCCAAGCCAAGATATCGATTGGCACATCGTGCAATCTGGGAAAGGCCATGGTGGAGAGAGGTCGGATGAGGACGGAGGACGTGGAGGAGGGAGGGGGGAGGGGAGAGATTGTGGGGCAGTCTGGTCGCAGTTCCTCAAAGAGGATATTGCAGAGCCGGACAAAAAAGTTCAGAAATGGGCCGCTAAAATGATCGAGGAGATGGAGCAATTTCCCTTTGAGGAAAGGCAAGCAGCATTTGAGACTCTTTAGCTGGGGGGGGGGGAGTGAGGTGACGTGATAACTAGAATTATGCCTATTGTGGAGAAAGAAGACAAGAGGGTGTTTCTACTTCTGTTACCTGGTATTTTTATTTTATTTTATTTTATTATTTTATTTTTTATCCCACATTTAACCCAAAGGTCCCGGAGCAGAATTACTTTGTGCTGTTATATTGTGCTGTTAATTACAGAATTAACAGCACAATATTTATAACTGATTTAAATAACTGACGATCACAGAAAGAAGCTGGGCCCTTCATTGGCGTAGCCGGGATTTTTGTGGGGGGGCAGGACTTTTGTTAGGGGGGGCAGAACCAACATGATTGGTCAGTTAGTATTCCTATTGTTTTACTTGGGGGGGGCAGCTACCACCCCCTGGCTATGTCCATGGGGTCCTTACTAGAAATCAGTGCAGTCATACAATAAAGCTAAACATTGGAAGATTCAGGACATACAAAATGAAGGACCTTTTCCACACAAAATCCAGCAAAACTAGGGAATTTATGTTGTGAATTGCCCTGAGATCTACGGATGAAGGGCAGTATACAAATTATTATTATTTATTATTATTATTATTATTATTACTGCTGCTGCTGCTACTTGCAGGCAGAAGATGTAATGATAAGCCACCAACCCAGACAGCTGGAAAAGGGAGCTGGAGAAATTTATTTCACATTATTTATGTGATAAAATTTAATATACTGTTTCCTAGAACGAAAGACCCTTGAATGGATATAAAGTGTACGGAGAATAAGTCCATCAACGGCTGCCAGCCTTCAGGGTTGGAGGCAGGATGCCTTTGAGTACCATGTGCTGGGAATCACAGGTGAGGGTAGGTACTGCTGTTGTGCTTAGCCTTCCCAGAAGAAGCATCTGGGCCCCCTTTGCTCTGACCCAACTACAGGGCTCTTCTGACATGCTCACCACATCAGCCCACAAGTCCATCCGGCTCATAGTAGTCCATCTACACTGGCTGGCTGCCCAGAGTTTCAGGCAGGAGTCTTTTCCCAGCCCTACCGGCAGATCCTATTGGGGAATTGATCCTGGGTTCTTCTACAGGCAAACGGGGGCTCTATAGTCCTTCCCAAAATTGTGTTGGCTCCTTGTGAGAAATTTGGAAGTTAAATTACACAGATCTGAAGCTACTACAGAGCAGATCTGCTGTACACCTGCAACTTTTTCATACCATGAAGGGGGGGGGGTTGTCCTACTTTTGTTGCACTATAACACAAGAGTGCCTCTCCAGATGGCGTGGGGGGGTCCAGTCTAAAGCCACCAATCGTGCCATATGATACGAATGTAAGAACCAGTGTTAGAAACTCAGATATATAATCTAATTGCCAAATGGCACCTTAAACCTAGGTTACGGTCACACAATAGAATATCTAGAGGATGTTTATTTCCCCTAATGGAATTCATTTATTATTGACTTCATTTCATTTCGATTACCACTTTCTATTTTAAAGAACGAATCTCAAAGTGGTATAAAGCACATTAAAACATAAAATAAAACAATTCAGAATAAAACAAATTCAAGTTTGAAGGAAAACATTTCAGATCCTCCTCCAAGTGACGTACCGGTTTTCCCTGTCACCAACCTGGTCGCAATTGGACCAGCACCAGTTGCAAAACATGCCTGGCAAAATCTTAACACTAGTAGCAACATAAGAAAAGCCTGCTGGATCAGGTCAGTTGCCCATCTAGTCCAGCATCCTGTTCTCACAGTGGCCAACCTGATGCCCCAATGGGAAATCTGAAAGCACTCTCCCCTCCTGTGGTTCTTCAGAATCATTGCTGCCTCCAACCGTGACTACCATCAATATCCAATTCTTCCATGAATTTGTCCCATCCTCTTTAATAAATAGGTACCGCTCTGGCGGGAAGGTGAACGGCGTTTCTGTGCGCTGCCCTGGTTCGCCGGAAGCGGCTTAGTCATGCTGGCCACATGACCCGGAAGCTCGGCCAATAAAGCGAGATGAGCGCCGCAACCCCAGAGTCGGTCACGACTGGACCTAATGGTCAGGGGTCCCTTTACCTTTTAGGTTGGTAGCTATCACTGCCTCCTGTGGGAGGGAGTTCCAGAGTTTAACTTTGAGCTGTGGGAAGGAGGACTTCCTTTTCTCTCTCCTAAATCTTCCAACCTCCAGGTTCACTGGATGTCGAATTCTAGTGTCACAAGAGAGGGAGAATTATAGCGCCAATGGCACACTGCAGAAGGTACCAGCCTAAAAAATCCCACCCCCACCCCCCACCCCCAGTCTGGAAAGGCCAGCACCACCCAGCTGGAGAAAAGGCAAAGCTTGTCTCTGGAGCATCCTTCAGTTTGCTCAGAAGCAGAAGGAGGGGGAGGTCTAAGCTGTCACAGCAAATGGAGAAGTTAATCGGAGAGGCTTTATGGCTGCAGAGCGCCAGGATGAACAGCACAGGGAGGAGAAATAAAAACACCCTCAAGATGTACGGCCGCAGAGGTTACAGCTCTGCCAGCGCTAGCCTTGGAACGGAAGGCCAAGCCATGGCTCATTCGAGGCTGCTTCTGCCAGCCACAGCAGCTGTGAAACCTTCTGCCTCCCTGTGCATCTGAAAGGCCAGGATAGGTCCATGGGGGTTCAGGGCCTCTCAGAGGACAGGGAGAGCTGAAGGGCCACTTCCAGGAGCTGACCAAGGCTCAAAGCAAAGCTGTAGGTCACAGGAGAGGAGAGTTTGTGCTTCCTCTGACAGGCAGTAGTGATTTACTGCCTTGGTAAAAGAACAGCCCTTAGAAGGCCATGTACCGCTCTGCTCACTGGACCTCAACAAGGATATTGTAGGGCTGGGAAAGAAAAGGGCAGCCAAAACAAACCAGGGGCCAGAGCTGTGATCCCTGTATTCCGGGGGGGGGGGGCTTGACTAGATGATCCTTGTAAAGGTAAAGGTAAAGGTAAAGGGACCCCTGACCATTAGGTCCAGTCCTGACCGATTCTGGGGCTGCGGTGCTCATCTCGCTTTATTGGCCGAGGGAGCTGGCGTACAGCTTCCGGGTCATGTGGCCAGCATGACTAAGCCGTTTCTGGCGAACCAGAGCAGTGCACGGAAATGCCGTTTACCTTCCCGCCACAGCGGTACCTATTTATCTACTTGCACTTGGACGTGCTTTCGAACTGCTAGGTTGGCAGGAGCAGGGACTGAGCAATGGGAACTCACACCGTCGCAGGGATTCAAACCACCGACCTTCTGATCGTCAAGACCTAGGCTCCGTGGTTTAACCCACAGCGGTCCCCTTAAACTCTACAACTCTGTGATTCCATAACCTCAGAAAGTGGTGAACTTCACTGCAGGTCTTTTGTCAGAGGTTGGATGGCCATCAGTCAGGAAATCTTTAGCTGTGATACCTGCATGGCAAGTGCTCTACCGCTCACTCACATTCCTTCCTCTCTACCATATAAGATTCTAGTCCTCATGGTTGTGAATAAAGCCTGAGTTCAGTTGGAACATAGGAAGCTGCGTCACACCGAATCAGACTATTGGCTGACAGTGGCCCTCCGAGCTTTTCAGGCATGGAGTTTATTCCCCGCTTGGATATTGAACCTGGGACTTTCTGCATGCAAAGCAGATGCTCTGAAGATTCTTCCCCCCCCCCATGCAAAACTGTGGCTCGCTCACATTGCATTATCCACAGGAAATGGACATCTGCAGAGCAACAAGAGGCTTTTAGCAGCTCAGTTCTCCAGTGACCCTCGAATAACGCAAAAGGTCACGCTCCCTCCCTGCCCCTCTTTTTTTGCGTGACTCATCTTTGCATCCGACATCATCGCGACACTGCAGCGAA